AGACAACAGCCCAGATGGCTCTCTTCCAGCTGTGAAGGATGGGCTCTTTGAGGGGATGGGTTGAAAATGTTCTGTAAGGTTTCCCTTTTGGCACTTTCTCCATCCTGGACTGTCAAAGTAAAAGATACAGCAGAGCTTCCCCTTCTTTGGGGAAGAAGTGAAGCTTCTTCCCACCTCAGCACTGCCAACTCTCAGAGGTTAGAAGGGACTGTGTTTGTCATCACAGGAAATGTCTTGCCTTACTCTACTGGATGTGCTACTGGGACCTGCTGTGCTTAGAGCTGCCTTTGGAACTTGTGAAAGTGAAGGAAGACCTGTCTTCCCTAAGTTAAGAGAATTTATCAGGAAATTTAAAGGAGTTTTGTGTCACAAATTACTCTTCATTTTCTGCCAAAGACTGTATTATTATTTGCTTCTTCCGGTATTTTCTTCACCACCAGTCCAAGAGTCAGTCATAGAAACCATCCACCTTGCACTGTTATGGACAAGCCTCTGTGCTGATCATCTTCCTCCAACATAAAGGTACAGGGCGCAAGCTCAGACTGCTTTACTGTACATAGTTTGTGGACACACATCTCTGAGAGATCTAAGTGCTTTCTTCAAATATTTAGCACGCTCTGCTGCATCACCTCTCTTCAGCGAGGAACCTTCTGCAATCTTGAGGTGAGCCCACTGCTGTCATTCACAAGTAGAACACATTTGCCCTGGAAGGTGTAACACAGAGAAACCTCAAATGTAAAATTCTTCTTCATCAGCTGGTGACGCTGGGCAAATGCTACCACGACCATCCAGAGAGCAAGGAGCTGCTCTCGAGGAATGTTTAGGCGGCTTGGAGAGAGATGCTGATGTGAATGAGCTGGAAGACCATTCAGAAAGAAAAGGCAGTGACCCATCAACCGAATCAAAGGTATTGCACATGGCTGATACAGGCCTTCCATTGGTGGCTGCCTGTTTAGCCTTACTGACAGTTTGTTTCTGTGGGGGAAGAGAGCCTTCCAAGTCACTGCAAAATCCATTAAGGGCAGAGTATGCAGAGACGACAGACAGGTCTGAGAAGGACAGCTTCATCCCTGTGTCTACATCAGTCTCCTGGGCACCCTCCAAGTCGTCAACGTTAAGCCTGGGGCTGCATCTCCATGTTTTCAACCTGGTTGCAGGTGACCCAGTATTTAAAAACTGAAATGGTTCACTGAAATTAAAAGTCTCTGAGGCTGAGGAGTTCACTGTGGGCAAGCAGAACAGAGACTTGCTTCGTTTAAATGACCATGAAATGCTGGAGGCACTGCTGGATCTGCTTGTGAAGTCTCCTCGACCACTGTGTCTCAAGTCCTGCTGTGAGAAACCAAGATAATGACCAAGGCCATTTGCGTGGTGTACCTTGTTTTGACCCATTTCTTTTGGGTGTTCAGGAACAGATCGGTGGCTCTGAGGAGGAAAGGCTGGCAGAGTGGTGAAGCGGGAATCTGTTGACACAGATGGATATGGTTGCTTGTTCTGCTTTGCAGACTTCCTACACCAACTGCGTGCTTGCTGCAGCCAGGAGAGGGAGAAAAGAAGATCACATTAATACACAATTGGCAGTCTTACAACTGTAAGTCTCTGTTACTGAGTTGTTACTGCAAATAATTACGAAGCAGACTTCATTCGGTATGATTGCAGCAATGTTTCACTTCAGTAACAAAGAGAAAGCACCCTGCCAAAATCCCAAATATTTACATAAGGAGTCTTGAAGAAAACAAGAACAAATGGTAGAGGAGCCCTGCTTTGCAGGCTGAATTACACTAGCTCAAGATTCTCACTTCCTATTGACTTGTTCAGATTCATTCATATTCTGTCTTCCAACATTACTGCCTCAGCAGTAGCTGAAGAACAAAAATGAATAAATGGTAGACGTATGTTACCATCATTATTTCTGATTTCTTCCTTACGGTGGTGCAAATGTTTTTATTTTTTCCTCTGAAGCATCAAAAAGCCTTTAGCAATCAACCTCTTTCTCTGTCATCTCAATGGGAATTTAGTACTTTAACACTTTCACATTTTCTCTTTCACATCTGGCTAGCTAAGCAGACCGCTCCAGAACTCACTTGCTCTATAAGCTAGCTCCTAATGACTTTAAGGACAGCTTTGGACACCTAATTTGCTTGTAGACACCTAGACTGAAGACCTAAACTGACGGTTGTTATCTGAATCTGCATGTGAATATCATCCCTAGGGCACACCTCAGTTGCCTGCCTGACAGACCAAATCATGGAATCATTAAGGTTGGAAAAAA